GTTAGGTTAAAGAAGCTGAACATAACGTATTATAAACTATAGTTTAGATTAATGAAGCTGAACATAACGTATTATAAACTATAGTTTAGATTAATGAAGCTGAACATAACGTATTATAAACTATAGGTTAGATTAAAGAAGCTGAACATAAACGTATTATAAACTATAGTTTAGATTAAAGAAGCTGAACATAACATATTATAAACTATAGTTTAGATTAAAGAAGCTGAACATAACGTATTATAAACTATAGTTTAGATTAATGAAGCTGAACATAAACGTATTATAAAATATAGTTTAGATTAATGAAGCTGAACATAACGTATTATAAACTATAGTTTAGATTAAAGAAGCTGAACATAAACGTATTATAAACTATAGTTTAGATTAATGAAACTGAACATGAACGTATTATAAACTATAGTTTAGATTAAAGAAGCTGAACATAAACGTATTATAAACTATAGGTTCGATTAAAGAAGCTGAACATAAACGTATTATAAACTATAGGTTCGATTAAAGAAGCTGAACATAACGATAAACTATAGTTTAGATTAATGAAGCTGAACATAACGTATTATAAGATTAAAGAAGCTGAACATAAACGTATTATAAACTATAGTTTAGATTAAAGAAGCTGAACATAACGAGTTTAGATTAATGAAGCTGAACATAACGTATTATAAACTATAGTTTAGATTAAAGAAGCTGAACATATAGATTTAATTTAAACTGTATTATAGACGAAAGTAGTTGAAAATATACAGATATAAACTCTCGAATACAGAAAATAACCTAATACCAAATGTTTTAAAATAAAAACTGAAATCAAAACCAAATTTATAAAAATCATCAATTTTTTACGTAACCATATCAGTGTATTATTATAGTTTTTTAATTTTTATCGAGAACGAAAGGGTTTGCATCATAACCAATAACAAAATACAGTACCAATAATTATAAGAACTTTAAATATCACATTTTAAGTCTTTTAACATCCAAGTGAACTATAACAACATTATGCTGTATTAGACAATGTTTGGATGTAGCTAATACTTGAACATCCAACTAAACTATAACAACATTATGCTGTATTAGACAATGTTTGGATGTAGCTAATACTTGAACATCCAACTAAACTATAACAACATTATGTTGTATTAGACAATGTTTGGATGTAGCTAATACTTTAACATCCGACTGAACTATAACAACATTATGCTGTATTATACAATGTTTGGATGTAGCTAATACTTTAACATCAAACTTAAACATAACAACATTATGCTGTATTAGACAATGTTTGGATGTAGCTAATACTTTAACATCAAACTTAAACATAACAACATTATGCTGTATTAGACAATGTTTGGATGTAGCTAATACTTTAACATCCAACTGAATTATAAAAAATCACGCTCTACTTCAAAATGTGTGGATATAGTTAAAACTTTTAACATCCACCTGAACTATAACAAAATCATGCTCTACTTCAACTGGAGGTGAACTTCTTACTGAGACTCGACTTGACGAGTGGAAATACGATGAAGTTTTTACATAACTGTGTCAGACTTGACCTGATACGTGTAGATCTGGATCTAAGAGTTTTACATTACTTTGTCAGACTTGACCTGATACGTGTAGATCTGGATCTAAGAGTTTTACATTACTTTGTCAGACTTGACCTGATACGTGTAGATCTGGATCTAAGAGTTTTACATTACTTTGTCAGACTTGACCTGATACGTGTAGATCTGGATCTATGAGTTTTACATTACTTTGTGAGGCTTGACCTGAGACATGTAGAGCTGGAAGTGAACTTTTTACACTATACTTTACTTCACATGTGTAGAACTGGAGCTCAACTTCTTACAGTACTTTGTGAGGCTTGACCTGAGACATGTAGAGCTGGAAGTGAACTTTTTACACTATACTTTACTTCACATGTGTAGAACTGGAGCTCAACTTTATACAGTACCTTGTAAAGATTGACCTCACAAGTGTACAGGTGGATTTGAACTTCTTATATTAATTTGTTATAGTTTACTTTTCACGTGTAAAGCTGTAAACTTGAAGAGCAGGAGTTGAATTTCTTTATTGTAGCTCCCATTGTGTTTTCCAGGTTTGAACAGCGTTTTTGTAAGATTTTTTATATTTTTTTGCAGTTCACAATTATGGAAATATGTTTTATTTTATCTATCAGAACATGTACGGCTTATACACTGAGGCATTGGAAATATGTTTTATTTTATCTATCAGAACATGTACGGCTATACACTGAGGCATTGGAAATATGTTTTATTTTATCTATCAGAACATGTACGGCTATACACTGAGGCATTGGAAATATGTTTTATTTTATCTATCAGAACATGTACGGCTATACACTGAGGCATTGGAAATATGTTTTATTTTATCTATCAGAACATGTACGGCTATACACTGAGGCATCCTGTCAGGCCTTGCAAGGAAAACATCACAAACAAGTATGGACTAACGCCTTTAACTTTAGCCTGCAAGTTGGGAAGAAATGAGATCTTCAGAGAAATGTTAGAACTTAGTGCCTTGGTAAGTGTCTGGGAATTAACTCTGAATCCAAGCTTTCTGGAATTATAACACCTAAACAAAGGTTCCTGCATTTCCAAGGCACTAAGTTCTAACATTCAAGTGTCTAAGAATTAACTCTGAATCCAAGCTTTCTGAAATTATAACACCTAAACAAAGGTTCCTGCATTAATAAAATTGAAACAAAGTAATAACACTGAATCCACGCTTTCCGAAGTGATAATGAAACCAAGCCTTTTCAAGTTATAAAGCCCAGAACAAAGCTTTTGGGTGTTACAAAACACTAAAACCAAGCTTTCTAAAGCAATAACACTGAAACCAGGCTTTCTGAAATAATAACACTGCAACCATGCTTTATGATGTAATTTACACTGAAACCAAGCTTTCTGAAAAAATAACACTGAAACCAGGCTTTCTGAAAAAATAACACTGAAACCAGGCTTTTTGAAATAATAACACCGAAATCAAGCTTTTTGAAATAATAACACTGAAACCAAGCTTTCCGAAGCAATAACACTGAAACCAGGCTATCCGAAGTAATAACACTGAAACTAAGCGTTATGAAGTAATAACACTGAAACAAATATTTCATAAAGTAATAACACTAAAACCAAGCTTTCTGAAACAATAACACTGCGACCAAGCTTTCTGAAATAATAACACTGAAAACAAGCTTTCTGAACCAGTAACTGAAACCAAGCTTTATGATATAATAACAGTGAAACCAAGCTTTATGAAATAATAACACTTAAAACATATTTTCCAAAGCAATAACACTAAAACCAAACTTTATGAAGTAATGGTTTCCTTTTAAGAATAATTATCTATCCCTTGATGTTGTCGCTGACTCAAATATATACCTGTGTAAATAACAATATGAATATATAATACTGCTAAAGGAACACGTAAATAAATTATCATTTTAAACAACATAAGAAAAGTTTAAAATAAATAGTGCATTTAAAATAACAGATTCAATTAAAAAATGTTCTTACAATAAAAGATTATAAATAAACAGTGAATTATGAATCAAATTTTGAAGAAGTAAGCTTGTTTCTTAAACCAATCGTTCTCTTCTGAATAGTCAGTGTATAAAAAAAAAGTCCAAAAACGTCTTTTGAGATTCGGTATACAGAAGTGTGACTATATTAGCTTTTCTACTCTCACATTTGTTCACGTTCTTCTAAACATTTCCTTAGAAGCAAATTACACCGAACATGGTGCATTGCGACAGATTGAAATACTTCTTCTTTCAGCTTTGAGAGTCAATCAATATTATTTCTGTAGGATACGTATGATATGTAGAAGTAATGCTGCTCGTAATTCAAACCCTGACATATCGGATTACGCCGCACAGAAGGGTAGGAGGAGACGCTATGAACAAAAGAGTTGGGGCGGCTGTTGTAACATTTCTCCGGCTAGTCCAGTACGAGAATCAAAACTTAAAATATTGTATCCTGATAAATTTGTGAAGGAGATCAACAATAAAGTGATAACCAATTAGTCACTACTTCACAAAGACACTTGTCAACAACGCCAGGGAACGTGGCGCGTGTGTATGACTTCGCCTGCTGTCCTACAAATTAGAACCTGTAATTTTTTTAAATCTGTGAACAAGTAAGGGGCCGCTAATGAAATATGATTTTGAACACTACAAGTTTCTTTATTTGGATTGGTTTGCGAAATGGACACACTTGTAAATATTTAAAGAAAGTGGCAGCACAAAGTTAGGGTTAAAACATGCAGGTTATGTTGTTTTTAAACAATATGAAAAGTGTATTGTTTGGTAAACTTGTATAAATCAGAGCAAAGAGCTCTGTAAGAAAGACTGATACATTGGCTTCCGCGAGGGGAGGGCAAGAGGGCATTTGCCCCCACCCCTCTGGATTATCAATTTTGTGTTTCCATAGTTATTATCTTGCCTCCATCTGTAATATATCCTGTGGATGCCCGTGGATTGCTCTTCTAAAAATGCTGTTTAAATTACTAAAAATTAAATGTATAAAAACTGTAGAAATTGAGTAAAAGTAGATCACAAAACACAAATAGGTTTAGAAATTTAGTCAAATATTCACACAATTTAAATGTATGCCGAAAGAAAACGTTTCTATACAGATTAAGAAGAATAGTATTTAAATGAATTACAAATTTGTATGGGTTCTAAATAATTCATTACTGTGTTTATCTATAGCTTAATAGAATATATTCTTGTGAAGGAAACGCGCGAGAAATCGCAAGAATCATATAAATAATAAAACTTACCATACCATAACACAATTTATCCAATGAACATTTATTGACTGATTATGTGGGCAACAAATAACTTGTTGCCCAAAATCACCAGTCAATAATTGTTTTATTCTAACCCCCTCTGATTTTAGTTTTACTAAAATCTGACTAATCAGCGTTGACACATTTTATACTAAGCCTACATTCCCGGGCTTACATGTAAATCTTAAAGTTTTACATTTCATTCAGTATTCTTGCCTCATTTTAAGACTCAATAATAAATCAGTAAGATTTAGAAGTTATTTATTTTAAAAATATCACAACTCGTCATTATGTGATCAATCATACCAATAAACGTATAAGTACTCACCTGTCTAACTTCAGTACACAATTTGTCTAGAAGTAGAATGCTGGCGAGATATCAGATGTTTTGTAAACTAGGCCTAAATGAATCAGCGTATTTCCACGTGATACAAAAAATGTCGCCTGCAATATTCTTCTGCCTAAACGACTCTGCAGCTCTTCATCGGTGAGTAACTGATATTTTAGGCCATAAGATATGTCCACATTCATTTTACGGGTTTGAGCAAATTTTTTGTAGGTAGGCCTAAATGAATAAGCACGTTTACACTGTGCTGCACAAACTTTTACTTGCACTGATACAATATGATGGATATTTGGCAACTGCATTGAAAACTGAGCAACATTGATGCATTTTCTGCACTAGTTTTCAAGGCGACAACAGAAAATGTTTCATATCACGTGAAGCGCTCTCGAACAATTACGGCAAATAATTCATGCTAGATGTAGAATGTTATTTATTGTTAAGCTTATCCACAGTATCACAAATGTTGGTTTATTCTGTTTATCGATATGTTTTAGGTAGCTGGATAACACACAGTCTTTTACAGCAAATATCTCTTTCTTCATGAGCATCATTTACTGTGCATGTCACGCGGTTTTAGTGACTTACGTTCAAAGTTTAATTAAACTAATTTTTGCTTATGTTATACCAATTAGTATAGCATAAGATCGTAGCTAATAATCTATATTTTAATAGTATATAAGTTTTAAGTTCTTACTTTTATAAGGTAATATTTTTAAAAATTCCGAATTTCCCCTGGTGTGAGAAATATGACATATTTTCTCTAAGCATTCCCTCTTCTCTATTTTATTCACCACCCCTCCAATAAGTCCGAAATTCAACGTAAACTACTCACTATTAAATCATCATTGCTCAGACAAACCATAATTTTTATAGTTTTCAATCTTGTTTGATTACAGAGCCATCAAATAGAA